ATTTCTATACAAGAGCCAGCAGTTGTACATCTTTGTAACTGCAAATGAATGCCACGAAATAATACACCACACCACAATAGGAGTCATCCTGGCACCTCACTATAGTGACCATAAGAGCTATAGTTCTTGATCAGTCCTACTGCATGTACTTTACTTTGTATGACCATGAACTGCATAGCAGTATTTTCTCAATACTGATATGCCGATAATGGTCCTTTTAAGACAATTTTTTCCTGGGACATTTTTGCCTTTATTTGATAGAACAGTGGAGATTTTTCAGACAGGAAGGTTGGAAGAGTACATGGGGACACCAAGGGGTTGGAACAGTTCAGGGCCTTGTGGCATATGGTCACACGCTCAGGTGTCCTTAAATAATTGCAATTTGACACATGTAATGATGGAAAAAAAATAATCACAGGTTAGTTTGGGAATCTTAATTAAATTTAATACATTCTTACCAGTGTAGGGACTAATGCGTTATTAAGTAACGTGTTACAGTAACTACGTTATTATTGTGGTAACGAGCACGGTAACTAGTTATTATGCCAAAATCAGGATTCATCCTAAAACACTGCCTGCCTGAACAGCTTGCTAATTGGCTGCAATTATTGCAAATAAAAATCTCAAAGTCTCAAAAGTCATGATATGGCAAAGAGGATTCACCCCAACCTCTTGGCAACAGCTTAGAAAGTGAATTTGAAATCATTTGCATTGGAAACAGAGCTTGCAGCAGGAAGTAGGCAGGTCACGTCACTGTCCATGCTGCGGCCTTCTGGGCTGACTTGTTTCACTCAAAATTACTCCTACGTTTCTGCGCAAGAAAGATTTTTACCACACCAAGGTCACAATGGACATGCAGGCTGGTGAGAAGCATGAGTTAGGGTACTGTAAAAATTTTACTGCAGGCTTTTAAGGTTTCCTGTAAGAACTTCAGAAATTGGCATCTACTAAAATCGTTTATATACTTTCCAATAACTGATCACTTTGACCCACAGACTGACAAATATTTTAAAAAAAGCAACAAACCTGCTGTCGTCATTCTTGCTCCTTTCACTGCCAGAGCTGGCTGGACTGCTCTCACATATTGGGCCAACATGACTTATACTGTACCAAAGAACAAATGTCAAAAATTAAGTGGCAGTTAATGAACAATAAGACAGCTGCTATTGCCTATGAGAAAAAAAGAAAATGGAAGTTAAATCATCATGTTATGATGAACATGGCAGCACTTATGTTGGTCTTACTGGGAAATTGGAACGTCCTTGTTTTGCATCATTATTTTAAGTCTTAAGGCTTTAAGCTGAATTTCCATTGACAATTAATATAGATCTTATTCCACGATTAACCAATTATCAATCTGTGTTAGACTTGTGACCTGTACCAGGTATAATGCAGTCTGAATGTATGGAGCTTGGTTATATAGTATCCCTTAATCTGACAAGCTGATGATGAATGATTACCCATTTATTTCGTCTCCAAAATGTAAGAAATGTGTTTATATGATGAAGAAATGCAAACCATATGTTTTCTTCACTAGCTTATCTAATTTTTTAAAGATGTTTTTCCTCCAGTCAGCAAATCATTTAATGCGGTCCTTTCCAGGCAGTGAGATTTGTTTGACGGCATCAGCTTTTTCATCCAAAATCAGGATGTTCACATGAGATTTAAAAATAAATAAATAAAAATCATCTAAGATTTAATACAAGCCATATAAAATATGGTTCTTAAAACATTACAACTGCCTATTTCATGAGGCTGTCTCCCACAAGTATTAGTCATTTTTTTAGAAGCTCTTTTGATAAATTCTGATGGCTTCATCATCAGAAGGTAAAATACATTTTACCTTTTACACCATAGCATGTGAATTTCTGCAATCCAAGGGAGCAGAGTTTTCTGTTTTATTTAGTATATTTACTTTTTAATCAGCACAAATGCATGTGGTTGTACTACATAGGGTTGCCCAACTTCCATGCATGTGCTCTGAAAAGTAAGAATTTTAAGGAGAAGCACTCCTAAGGAGAAGAAAAGGATTTCTTTTAATCCCTATAATTAAAGGCCAGACTGAATATTACCCATGTCTCTGTATAACGAGACCTGATCATCTCAGTCTCCTCGTTAAATTCGAGAGATTCACGTGTCTATGGTTGCTTTACATCCAGAAAGAGCCACTTTGGAGTTTCTCCTTCCCTTAGGCTCCTTATGAAGCAAGGGTTAAATTGCACAAATCTAAACTGAGGGGTTCTCTGAGAATACTTGACTGAGTAGTGCTCAAGGATGTTGAAGTGAGGGGAAAAAAGACAAGCCATGCAGTGCTGAGTCACACTCACCCACAATTCATAGGAGAGCAGAATCCCATGAGTCTGTGGGGGGATGCCGAATAGGTGAGAGGGATGGAATGGTACAGCTTAGATTTGACAGCACAAGATATCAAGTGGTAAACGAGCACATGCAGGCACACAGTGACAGTGATGGAAAGTGCATTTATTACAGTACAAATCTGAGGACATTTCAGTACATTTCTGACCTGCAGTCAAGCACTTTTGCATGTGGCAGTTACATCTTTAACATGCGAAAATCATCTGAACACGTATTCGACTGATGCGCATACACTGTAAGACAAACAGAAGTAACCCCATCAGAGATTTTTCTTTTTTTCATTATTACTCTGATGGGTCAGTCAGTGGTTACACTGTCAATTTTCCTTTCATTATTCCATCTACTGGGGAAACTAGTTGGGGTTCCTCACAACTTTAACCATAAATAAAGCTACTCGCTGCATTAAGGGAAACAAACATCAGCTGTGTAGTTCAGTCAAGCAACAAACTGCTTGTCTTGAGGTTATGACTGTGTTTGTCAGAGAGCTTTGTCGGTTTGCACTTTGTAGTGTTACACTAGATTGCATTATGTTGTGAGACATATCTAATATTGTGTCTCAACTTTGATGCAGTCTCACATAAAGCCTTGCAAAAGGCAATTTATCCAGGTTTATCCATGTGCCCATGTCAGTGTTAGAAACTTAGGACTCATACTGACAGTAAAATACTCTGTATTTAACAGTATACATAAAGGAAACATTACCTGGGCTTTGATGTACATGGGGTTATTTTTCAGTTTAAATATTTTTTGATATTCTTGAAATGTGCTATGTTTAATAAAAAAAGAAAAGATCTAGAAAAATATTTTAATTCTAAGGACTCTTGCCATTTTTTCCAGTGTTGCAGTGGTGCAAGCAGCTATTGCATTGGTCACTGTGCCAAAATAATTTCTTTGAAGTCCTCTGTTATGTCTTCATTGAGCTAAAGGAAAATTGAACTGAAGAGCTTCTCTGCACCAGGACAAAGAAATATTACACCCCAGTCCTGTTACAGTCCACACGTGCTGTCATGCATTGTCAGTGGCAACAATGACATTTAGTTTGTTGCTTAACTCATTGTGGAAATGGTTATCAGAAGAAACCACAGTGGATATTTTGACCCTGCACAAATCTGGGGGTTTCACTCCATGCAGATTTTCTACAGTGGCCAAAGAAAACGTCACAGAAATGCTCATCTTAACCCAAACACTTAACGGGGACAGTTGTTCAAACCAGAGTCAGTTTTTACTGTAAGAATAATATTTGTACATTTTGGTGACTTATTTGATAATCAATATTCTCCTCATTATCTTGGAAACAAAGAATGATGAGATGCAAATTATGTAATCAGCAAATGTTGCAGTAGGAAGAGTACTGGATGTCTGCATTAACTGACATTTCTCCTTCATTTCGGATGTTATCATAATCTTTGCTGATTTGCATATAATAAAAAACATTGACAGCAAGTCAATTATGGAGAAGTTCCATTGTTATAACTAATTATCTTTATGCAAATGTACATGATGAACACTACTGTGTAACGAGAAAAGCTTTCCTATAGTGTAGATGTCTTGGCAGTTTGGATTAGCTCCTTCAGAATTTTGTATTTAAAAAAATAAATAAATAAATGAATAAATATCCAGTCAGGTCAATACAACCCCACTTCCAAAATGTTGGAATGTTCTGTAAAATAGAAAAACAGATTACAATGTTTAAACTGAGAAAATTTTGGATTTTAGGAAAAGATCATTTTGAATTTGATCTCACAGACATCTTAAAAGTGACTACTAGTCACACTCTTAACAGGTGCACTTTGTCTTACTGAAATATGCCAAGGCCTTCCCTGCTAAAGTTGTTATCTAGATGGGAGCATGTTGCTCTTAAACGTGAACCGTATATACCTTTCTGGATTGATGGTCCTTTTCTGATGCGCAAGATGTCAATCTTAATAGGCACTGATGCATCAGAGATGCAGGCTTTTGAACTGAGTGCTGACAGCAAGCCAGATGGTCCCTTATCTCTAGTTGAGAGGACGTAGCGTCCATGTTTTCCAAAAATAATTTCATATTTCAATTCACCTAACCAATAAACACTTTTTCACTTTAAATGAGTTTTATCCCAGAGAAGATGTGACCGTTCTGGATCATGTTTAAATGTCGTGTCTTTGCATCACAGAGCTTTAACCTGCATTTGTGGCACACTGAATCAATCACATCATTCCTGAGCCCAGTGATCCAGTGTTTTCCATGACAGAATCAAGGCTGTTTATTAATGTAGTGCCATCTGAGGCTTAATAATCAATGGTATCCAATATTAATTTTGGCATCCCAAAGATTTATCAGTTTTTTCAGAAGCTTCTGATTATATTATATTGATGATTTATTCAAATTTGTAACCATGACATAACCATTTATATTGAGGAACATCACTTAATGCTATTGGCTATAACAGTTTTGTCAGAGTG